GGAAAATTGAAGGGGAAGGGGATAAGAGAAGGGGAAGGGAGATAGAAGGGAGGGCAGATTAGGAGAAGGGGTACTCAGAATGCATGCCATCTTGGGGTGGGGGGAGAGATGAGATGGGGAGAAAATTTGGAACTCAAAATCTTGTGTAAGTGAATGTTGAAAACTAAAAATAAATAAATTAATCTAAAAAAGCAATGGTTTTGTTTCCTCATTGCCTATTTCAATTCCTTTACTGTTTTTTTCTTCTCTTATTGCTATAGTTAGCACTTCTAGTATAATATTGAATAATAGTGGTAATAATAGGCAACCTTGTCTCATTTTTGATCTTATTGGGAAGGCTTCTAACTTATTGTCATTACAGGTAATGCTTGCTAATGGTTTTAGATAAATACTACATATCATTTTAAGGAAAGCTCCATTTATTCCTATGCTTTCTAGTGTTTTTAATAGGAATGAGTGTTGTGTTTTGTCAAATGCTTCTTCTACATCTATTGAGATAATCATGGTTTTTGTTGTTTTCACTAATGATATGGTCAATTATGCTGATGGTTTTCCTAATATTAAACCAGCCTCAAGAGGATTCTGGGAAGATGGTGAAGTAGACCGGAAAACTTTCAACTTTCCAAATTTTCTCCACAAAAAAAAAGACAGATGATTGCCTCAGGGGAAATGTAAGGCAGCAAAAATAAATGAAGGTTGGGGTAGAGCAGTTGTCCTTCTAAAACAGCTTAGGAGAAGATCCCAGGAAAGACCTGACCTCCAGGAGCAGACCCTGAGTGAGGTACAAATATCTCTAGGCTGCTTCTGTGGAATCAACAAACAACAAGCCCTGGGGATAGCTGGGTTAGAAGGCAGCTTCAGGAACTTTCACCTCACAGACAGTGTAGGGGTCAGAAGGCTGAGTAGGAGAAGATTGAAGGACTTTCCACTGTTGAGGAACACCGAGCACAGCTGTGCTGGCCAGACCTGTCCTGGGCTGAGGCTGCAGGGGAGAAGGAGCTAGCACATGCCTAGTGAGTGCAGTAGCAGAGGGGTGGGGCCTGCTGGCTGTGGACACTTGCAAGAGAGCAGAGTTGCTGGGTTTCAGTTCCAGGGCAGAAAGGACAGCTGTAGTTTTCAGTCACTGGAGGGACCTTAGGGAGCAAGCTCATTTGCAGGACAGTGTGGTTGGGGGCCCTAGTCGTGGTTTAGGAGTGGAGAGGAAAGCCCAAGGCCCCCAGACAGATCTCAGAAAATAACAATAAGAAGAACCTGAGTCTTGGGGCATCATTCCCCATACCTTGGGAATAAAACTTGATTTTATTAATAACTGCTAAAAACAAAATTAAAATTAAAATGAATAAGCAAAGGAGAAATCTAACCCCTCTTATTCACCAATGGATTTGAAACTCTTTGGTTACCTTCAATCTGGTTTAGCTCATCTGCTGAAGTGGTTTACCAAGGTATAGTCACTTGCATATGCTACAGCCTCTTGGAACCACAGATGAGGGTTGGCTACCCTTCCCAAGAGGTACCTAGTCTTCCCTGAACATCTGTATGCCCCATAAAAAATAAATAGGAAATAATCAAAAGAGAGAAGGCACTCGGAAAGGCTTAAGGAAAGAAGATGAGATTTTATTTGGTATTTAAAGGAAGTCACAGAAAGTAGTAGGTAGAGATGAGGAGAGAGCACATTCCAGGCATTGGGGACAACCAGAAAAAAATGCCTCCAGTGGAGAGATGGAGTAAAACTAGTATCATTGAATCGAAGAGTACATGGGAAGGAGTAAAGTATAAGAAGACTGGAAGGTGAGGGTGGGGTAGGTTATAAAATGCTTTGAATGCCAAATAGAGCATTTTTTGTTTTATCTTGGAGGTGATAAAGAACCACTAGAGTTTATCGAGTAGAGTGGGTAATATTGTTGGACCTGTGCTTTAGGAAAATCACCATGGGATACTTAGAGTTAGAGGGCATGACTTAGATGAGAATCAACCAAGAAGATTGAAGAGTAGTCTGATGGTAGAGAACAGTGTCCTGAAAACCTAGAGGGAAGAAAGTAGTAAGAAGAGGATGATCAACAATGTCAAAGACTTCATAGGAGTTAACGAGAATAAGAATTGAGAAAAAGACATTGGATTTAGCAATTAAGAGATCATTGGTAACTTTGGAGAGAGTAGTTTTAGTGGAATGTTGAGGTTGGAAGCCGGATTGTAAGAGGGAAAGGAGACAAAGTAAAGGTACCTATTGTACACAGCTTTTTCAGGGAGTTATCCACAAAGAGCAGAAGAGATATGACAATAGAAGGAATGAAAGGATCAAGTGAGGATTTTTTGAGGATGGAGGAGTCATGAACTTGTATGTAGGTAGTAGAGAAGAACCAGTAGACAGAGAAAGATTGAAGACAAGTGCTAGAGTATAGATGGCATAGGGGACAATCTATTGGAAAAGATGGAATGGAATGGGATAGCTTGTGCAGGCACAGGGATTAGTATTCATAAGGAGTAAGGCCACTCACTTCTTTGTGTGAGGCAGGACTGAAAGAGGAGATAGGGACAGAAGGTATCTGAATGATATGAGAAGAGGAAGCTTATGGCGAATAGCCTCATTTTTTTCTTTAAAATGTAAGGTAAGTTTCTCAGCTGAGAAGGTAGGGAGGGAGGCTTCATGGAAAAGTTTGAGGAAGGAAAGGCTTGGAAGAGTGGGAATAATGAGGTGATAAGGAAAGTTTTGAAGTATTGCCTAGCAGCAGTGAGGGCCTAGTTAGGTTGGGTAGCCTAAATTTGTAGTGAACCCAAAATGGTTGATTTTCTCCACCTTTGTTCAGCTGCTCATGTGTAGTAATTAAAGGCAGCATAAATGGTGAGAGTGATCTAGGAATAAGGTTTGGCAGGGCACAATTGGTGATATGACAAGGGGACAAGGAACTAATGAGAAGAGGATAGTGTAGAGTTTGAGTATGAAATAAGAATTCATATACAGTTTACTTTAAATAGTCTATATTAAATTTAACAAAGCATTGACAAAATTCTATTTTTTTCCATTCTTGACTTCTATTTGTTTTCTTGTCTGTATTCTAAAGTGTTTTACTGATGCTCTTTCTCCCTTTTTTATCTTTCCATCAAATCAACTAATAAGTATCTAATTGCTTATAATCTAAGTATTAACCTTGCTATCTCATGTAACTTATTCATTTATTTAGTCTATCCTAGTTTTCAAGGAATCCATTACTTAAGTTAAAGTTTACCTCTTTTTCTTCTAAGCTATTTTTTCTCCTTCCAATTCTCTCCTGCTGCTTTCTATCTTCTATGCATTCATATAGTCCTTGTGGAAATCTAGAGACAGTCAAGTATCTGTTTGCATTTGTTTTGAAATTATTCTCCTTTTGGGAGTATCTCTAGTCTACAATATGTTTGGTACTAGTTTGTGTCTTGGTTTACTTATCTCTCCATCTTTAACTCCTGAACTGGGGCTTTGTGACAGGGCCAGAATCCATATCCTATTATTATTTTGAGTGATGGCTATGGCCTTGTTTGGCCTTGCCCAGGGTTGCCTTGGATGCTGAACTTATCTCTTCTTCCTGCGATTAGACCCCACCTGAATTTTTGAGGTTCAGAGTGTTGTATCTTCATGGTCCACTTTGGCATATCAAGACGGAGTACAAGGGATTTCAGAGCCCCTTGATGCCTGAGACATCCCAATCTGAGCTTAGGCATTCCACACTGATTGCTACTACTTCTCAGGACTTACAAGGTCCCTACTGTGGGCTTCTGAATGTGTTGTGGCTATGTGATCACACTGGGCTTTCTTAAAGGTGTCATCTCCTCTTGATGCCTCTGGACATAGAATTTTGGGGCTACAAGAGTCTCTTATCCTTCTCTACTCACTTTGGGAATCTGCCAACGTGGTTGTTTTCACTGGTATTGGCTTTGCTGTCATCCTCCTTTTCTATTGGCCATAGTCTTCAGGCTGACTTTAAAAATTTGTATGTTGGGTTTTTTTTAAAGAAGATTACATGTGTATTTTTTTCTCCCTTACCACCTCCCCCACTGGAAAAAAATGAAAACACAATCACTTTAATAAATGTATGTATAGTCAAGCAAAACAAATATTCATATTGACCATGTCAAAAATGTGTCTCATTCTGCATATTTGGGCAGCTAGGTGGCACAATGGATAGAGTGCCAGGTCTGGAATTAGGAGGGCCTGAGTTCAAATTCAGCCTCAGACTCTTACTAGCTATATGACCCTAGAAGTCACTTAACCCTGTTTGCCTCAGTTTCCTCATCTGAAAAATGAGCTACAGAAAGGAATGGCAAACTTGTCCAGTATCTTTGCCAAGAAAATCCCAAATTGGATGATGTCAGATATGACTAAAAAAACAACTGAACAAAATCTACATATTTAGTCCATTCTCTGTCAGGAAGTATGTCACATACTTTATCAGAGGTCCTATGGAATCATTGTTGATGATGATTAAGATCAGAAATATTAAGTCTTTCAAATTATTCAATTTTACAATTTTTGTTCTGGAAGGTTTTTGTGCAGTTACGAGTTGGAAGAAGTCACCATAGTTTCTCACTGAATTTCTTGATAATTATTTCACCTGGGGTGAATTTCAAGGTCTGGATGGAGTATGTATATCGAAGTTGGGGGAGTCTTCTTCCATTCAGGCAGCCATCTTGATCAGACATTTGAAAATGTTGTCTTTAGAAAAGTCCAGTAATTGCCTCTCTGAGGTCACTTTTCCAATCTTTCTCATTATTCCTATGTATTTGCTTCAAACAGACTAAATATTTGAAATAATTATCATAGTTTTAGTATATCCTTCATTTGAACATTGCCCAGGAATAAGTCTGAAAAAATGGTATCATAAAGTAGAATCTATTGTATTGAGAATAGCAGTAAACTCCTGTTTATTCTCACAAGAGTCCAATCCCTTCATATAGAAGGGAGGATATGGATGAATGATTGGTGTTTGATTAAATTTACAAAATCTGAATGTCCTAATTTTATCTTTCAGGTTTCTCTTATTGAACCAGGAAACTATTCTTGTGCCACTAATATTTTGAAAACGTACAATGTGGAAACATGCTGGAATAAATTTGATGAAGAAACTAAAGCAAGCTATAGTAAAGAATACCTACAATTCTTATGCTATAATTGATGCTTTAGTGAATCAAGAACCAAAAAGAAGATATTTGGTCGCAACTTTTAAGGAAAAATGTTTGGTCTATGCTATTTACTATTTGCCAGCATCCCTAACAGATTTATTCTTCTCTTCATAGTGAAATAATTCTTTAAAGAGTGTTAAAGAATAAGAAATATTTAAAAAAAACCATGGTAATTATATGGTTCACTTATCAAAAAATAGAAAAATACTAAAAATCGTATCGTATAGCATCTAACAGTCAAGATGCCTGAAAATATATTTTTAAATTGTCAAAGTCACTAACATGAAAATGAAATTTATTTAGAGCTAAGCAGTCAGTTTTGTACAACTTTTGAAATATGAACAAACATATGACCACACATTTAATTGAAATAAATGAATTTTCAATGTGCTAAATAGTCATGTGATCCTCTTTTTATCCAGGCTAAACATGCCAAGTAACTTCAATCAATGTATGGCATGGGCTACTACTTTCCCTCCACCATTCTGGCCAGTCTTCTCTGGACATTGTCTAACTTTTCAATATCTCTCCTAAAACATGGTGCTCAGAACTGAACATATGATTTCACATTTGATCTGACCAAGAAAGAATGCAGTGGTACATTATTACCTGGAATATTTCTGGAAGGTACACTTTTTAAAAATTTATTTTTATTTTTTATTTTTTAACATGTGTTTTTAAAACTTTGGGTTACAAATTTTCTCCCTTCCTCCCTCCCCACCCACCCTCATTGAAAAGGCAAGCATCTCAATACACGTTATAGATGTATAGTCAAGCAAAACACTTCCATAGTAATCATGTTGTGAAAAACTAAGTATATTTCCCTTCATCCTATCCCATCCCCCATTTATTCTATTCTCTCTTTTGACCCTGTCCATCCTCAGAAGTGTTTGCTTCTGATTATCCCCTCCCCCAATCTGCCCTCTCCTCTATCAACCCTCTGCTCTCTTGTCCCCTTCCCCCCTCATTTTCCTGTAGGGTAAGATAGATTTCCCATTGTGTATGTTATTCCCTCCTTAAGCCAAATCTTATGAGAATAAGATTCACTCATTTCCTCTCACCTTCCCCCATTTCCCCTCCACTGTAAAAGCCTTTTCTTGTCTGTTTCATGTGAGATAATTTACCCCATTCTACTTCTCCCTTTCTCCTTCTCCCAGTATAATCCTCTCTCACCCCTTAATTTTATTTTCCAGATATCACCCCTTCATCTTCAACTCACCCTGCGCCCTCTATCTATCTATCTATACATAACATATAATTTTTCCCTCCCACTACCCTAATACTGACAAAGGACTCATGAGTTACAAATATCATATTTCCATGCAGGAATGTAAACAGTTCAACCTTAATAAGTCTCTTATGATATCTCTTTCCTGTTTACCTCTTCCATAATTCACTTGAGTCTTGTATTTGAAAGTCAAATTTTATATTCAGTTCTGGTCTTTTCCTCAGGAATGCTTGAAAGTCCTCTATTTCACTGAATGAACATTTTTTTACCCTGAAGTATTATACTCAGTTTTTCTGGGTAGGTGATTCTTGGTTGTAATCATATCTCCTTTGCCCTCTGGAATATCATACTCCATGCCCTCTGAAGGTATACTTTTCTTAATGTGGCCAAAGATTACATTAGCTTTTGGGGCCTCTATATGGATTCATATGGAGCTGGTAGTCCACTGAAATTCCTAGATCTTTTCTACACAACTGCTAAGTCTATAACTCCCTCCTCAGCTTACCCTAGTGCTTCTGAGGTTGCTTTGTTGAACTCAAGTACAGGATTTGGTATTTTTAACCTTTCTGAACTTTACATTTTATTTAGCACAGTTTTCTAGACTCTTACCAGTCATACGATCATACATTTAAAGCTGGAAAGGTCCTTGGTCCATCTAGTCCACCTCCATTAACAGAGGAGAAAACTGAGCATGAAAGAGGTCAAGTAACTTGTTCATTTTTGCATAAGCTTACTAAGTCTTTTTTTTTAACCACAGTGTAGCTATTAACATTTTTTGTACTCACTTGGGAGTCTTGTGAAGCCATGCTTGTTTAATATTTGGAAATGCTCATTTTTAGTTAGAGCAGGAATTCTTAATCTGGGGGCTGTGATCCTGGTTTTAGTGTGTGTGGGGGGGTATTTTGTAATATATTTTCCCAATTACATGTAAAAACAATTTTTAACATTCATTTTTCAAAATCTTGAGTTCAAAGTTCTCTCCCTCACCCTTTCCCTCCCCCTCCTTAATGTGGTAAGCAATTTTATATGGGTTGTACACATGCAGTCCTGAAAAAAAATATTGTGAACGTGTTTTTAAAAAGTATTTTGATGTCTGTATTTTAATATAATTGGTTTCCTTTATAATCCCAGGAATTTAATTTTATGCATTTAAAAATATTATTCTGAGAAAAGATCCACAGGTTTCAGCATTAGACTGTCAAAGGCATCTTAGATATAGTAAAGTTAAAAATCTCTGAGTTAATTGTTAATGAAAATGAAGATGTAATTTCTATTTTTCCATCCAAGTTCATGGACTTCCTGAAATTTATCCACAGACCCCCCAGAGGTTCACTGAACTCAGTTTAATAATCCTTGCCAAAAACTTATGATTTCTGTCATTTGGGAAATATCCATATGAGGACATTCCCCTCATGATACAGATAAGCTTATGCCTTTAGAGCGGCAGTGTGTACAGAAATAACAGAGAAAGGTAGGTGGTGCAGTGAATAGAGTGCTGGGCCTGGAGTCAGAAAGACCTGCAATCAAATCCAACCTCAGATACTTACTCTCTGTATGACCTTGGGCAAGTCATTAAACCTCTGTTTAGCCCAGTTTCCTCAACTGTAAAATGGGGATAAAAACAGCAGGATTGTTGTGATAATCCAATGAGATAATATTTGTAAAGTGCTTAACACAGTGCCTGATACATAGTAAGCACTAAATAAATGCTAGCTATTCCATTATTATTATGTTTGTTGATCAGGAAAATGCCAGTCAGTCTTCTGCTTTAGGAAATGAATTTCCATGCAGCTAGTTAAATGGAAGATGGATTGCTTACTTGCAAAACACACACACACACACACACACACACACACACACACACACAATTCTATTTGCTATCTTTATGTCTTTGCACAGACAGATCCCCATGACTAGCACTGTCTTTTCTCACTTCTAATTCTTAGACCCCTTAGCTCCCTTCAAGGCTCAGCTCAAGTATTATCTCCTACAAAAGGACTTTCCTGATTTCTCCAGGTGTTACTGCCATCTTCCTTCTCCAAAATTATTTTGTATGGATTTCATATGAAGCAAGATTCTGGACTCATTCTCTTCAGTTACATCACCCACTTAGAATTCTTGGGGAATGCTGAGGAAGCAGGAGTGACTTTCTCTAATACTATGGGCTTAAGCGGTCATTCTGGTGTGTTCTCCTTACTGTTAACATCTAGTGACTACAGAAATACAAATATTTCTCTCCCTCCAACCCCCCTCCCCCAACACACACTTGCAGGCACACTCTCCATAGTGTTATGGTGTTCATCCTTTGTTTTTCAAAGAGGTTCAATGACATATCATGGGTGATGTCTTGACTTGCTCATGAATTGGACTGAAGTGAGGCAGAGTTGCACAAAGTCATCAGCCTCACTCTCTCTCCCAGAGTGATCAAAGTCCAGTGGCAGCTTAGGATGCAGTGTATGACTTCTGTCCCAGGAGAAGTGGGCTCAGACTTTACATAATTTCTCCATAATACTTACCTCACCAAGTTCACTGCCAAATATGGCATGACCTATGGATTGCTGAGTCCTCATCTTTGCTAGTGCTGAGATGAGTCAAGCAGGTCACTCTGAAGTTCACTCCTCACCATTTACCTTTCAGAAAATCTTGGTATGGATTTTATCTCCTGGACATGTAGGGGCTCACTCTCCTGATTCTTTTAAGTCACAAGATTGTAGCCATCTTCAATCTCTTTCACTTAAGTACAGGAAAAAACCAATACCATAGAAACAGAGGCAATAGCAAGTTTTTTTTTGTGGGGGGGAGGCAATTGAAGTTAAGTGACTTGCCTAAGGTCACACAGCTAGTAAGTGCCAAGTGTGTGGTCTGAGACCAGATTTGAACTCAGGTCCTGCTGACTCCAGGGCCAGTGCTCTATCCACTGCGCCACCCAGCTGCCCCCTAGTAAGTTTTTTTTTTAGTTGCCTTTCTAGGGTTCTCTAAATATACCATCATATCATCCGCAAAAAAGTGATACTTTCGTTTTTTCTTTGCCTAGGCTTATTCCCTCATTATTTTTTTCTTGTCTTATTTCTATAACTAGCATTTCTAATACTAGTGATAATGGACATCCTTGCTTCACAGTGATCTTATTAGAAATGCTTCCTGCTTATCCCCATTAGAAATAATGTTTGTTCTTGGTTTTAGATAGATACTATTTATCATTCAAAGGAAAACTCTTGTTTACTACTGTGCTTTCTAGTGATTTTAACAGGAATGAGTGTTGTATTTTGTCAAAAAGCTTTTTTCTGTATCTATTGAAGTAATCATATAATTTTTGTCATTAATATGGTCAATTATACTTATAGTTCTACTAATATTGAAGTAGCCCTGAATACCTGGTATAAAGCCAGCCTGGTCATAGTGTATAAGAATAAAAAAAAAGAGGAGAGAAACCAGTTCAGCAAAATTAGCCAACAAAACTAAAGATGCAGGATTGTAGATGTTATTCTGCACTCATTTTCTTCTGCTTTAAAAAGAATGCATGTGTAGGGGGGAGGAAAAGGGAGGTGTACAAGTCTCCTTTTAGATGTTAAATAGAAGTTTCTAATTTCTTCATGTTTTCAGAGCTACAAACAGATGTCTTTCTGGCGTCATCAAACAGTCTTTGTAGGCATATGCATGCTAACCAGCCTTCCTTCCCTCATGGCCATTTGGGGCCATAAAGAAAACATAAATGTATTTAAATCCTTTCTTGTACCCCCCACATAATTCTGACTAGCAGCTATGGAGAACAAGCTTGTGGTACAAAACTCAACTCAAGTTCCATGTTCATCCATGAATTTGAACTTACATTCAGGAAGACACTTCTTTTTCCTCTCATTTCTATGACATTGACACACATTTTTCC